GGCGCGCCCGGCCGAGCCCAGCCGAGCTCGCGGCAACTCGACCTCGCTGAGGCCGCAAGGCCTGGCAATCGCAAGCTCGCTGGCGGCGTCGGGGCCCACCGCTCTGCCGCCGGGCCTCTGCGGCACCTCACTTAGAGCCTGCCAGACGGGCAGGCAACCCTCTCCGTGCTAGTTACCAATGTGCTGGAGCAAGGCCTCCCTCGCCAGCCCCCACTCGGCCCTTCTGTACTGTGTCGTGTGCTTGGAGTACTGGTCCCGTGTTACTCGACCACGTTAAGAAAGAATCCTCCACCCAAGTTCTCCCTCCAGCTACTGCTGCTCATTTTTGTGCTCTTTATATTCCTACTGTTTAAAAGAAATTTCTATTCTTGCTACCACCGATCCCCTCCCCAAATACTCCCCGGTCTCCTGCACTGGCTGTACCCCCGAGTCAATTGACTCATTCCCTGGGCTCCAAGTCTTTGCTTAAATGTCCCTTTCCAGGACACTTAACTGCCGTGAATATTTCTGAACACGTCCTCCTAAGACCTGCAGTGCTTCTGACTGCTCCCGTCTCTTCCACAGCCTTATCACACCCGGGTGCATACTGGCCTTGTTGCGTCGCCTCCCACTCCACTAGAATGTGAGCTCCGTGAGAAAAGGGGTTTTTGTCTGTTTTGTGATTGATTCGTTCGAATATTTGTTACAAATAAATGGATATTAAATGTTGGTTGTTTAAAATATAATTTTACATGTATCTGTAAGAAATAGTTTAACCAAGTAAATCAGAGCAAAATGTGATTTATTCGTTATCCCGGTACAGTCAGATTTTCCAGCGTATTTGCCGCAGTTTACAATGCTGTCAAAAAGATGGTGAACAGAAAGCTACATTAAGGACTAATTCCTCTATTGGGTAAACGTACAAAAGTAGGTTTGGGGAATGCATGTTTTACATTTCAACATACTGTCAGACTATCAGAAAAGTCCATAAATGAGATAAAAACATGAGTTAGATCCCTAGCTTAACCAGACAGCATAAATCTCTAAAGGTTTTAAGAAAATGAAAGAATAGGGGCTTAGGATGACGCAAAATGCAATCCAGGGACCAGCCCGATTAGTGGGGGCCGCATTCCTGTGAGTGTACAGAGCTGAAACACAAACGCCAGCTGAGGTCAAGGGCAGGCTCCTGAAGCCCCCTGCAGCCACATCCCTCCCGGCAGGCACCAACACCCAGCGCCAGCGGAACCCAGGCACTGGTGGGCAAGGTCACGCTGGGTATGTTCCCTCCGTTAAATGGGCTAGTCACATCTCTCTGCAGGCGTGTAGATTTTTAACCCTCAGGGAAACTAAATTAAAACCACAATACAAATAAATATTGGGCATGACGGGAAGAATGTTAACACACTCGGTGTATTTTGTGGTGTTTAAGTGTTATAACGCCAAAGAGGATGAGCAATTGATTTGGACTTGTTTGTTGTTATTCTTTTTATGCTAGATTTTCTGTATTAAAGACCTTGATGGTATTTCTTTAGAGGCAGAAGTTTTGAACTCCAAGACTTAGAAAATTCAAGCTTGCAACTCATTACCAATGAAACAGTGCAAAGCAAAACAACTTGGAAAAGAGGTGGGAAGGAGGGGAAGAAAAAAGGAATTAAGTTGTTTATAATCTGAAGGTTTTGAATTTATAAGAATTCTGAAGTTACTGAATTTATAAGAATTCTTACTTGTACTAAGTTTTCGTTGTTAGGATTGGATATAGGAAATCACGTGTAAAAAACATATACATTTTAAAATGTGAGGGTAATTTGAAAATATGTAAATGGGACCAAATGCCATTGACAAGCCCTAAAGAAATATGATCTCGATGCGCTGCTAGATTTTCCTATGTAACAAGGTCATTGTCTAGGGAAGAACAAATGAAAGACTTTCTCATTCAAAATTAGTGTACTACAGTTTAGACCAAAGTTGAGGGCTCACCATTCATTCGTAAGGACAAAAACTGCTCTTATGGGCACTCTAGACTCACAGCAAGTGTCTTCCCAAAAGGGTTCTAGAAAGCTGGCTTTTCTAGCAAAATAGCAATGTGCCCGCTGTGGGCTCTCCAGCACCGTGATTCAACCACTTCAACCTCTGCCAGTGTGCACGGAGGGGGCGGGGCCAGGCGATGCCCCATGGCATCCACGCCGCTCGTGGCCGGCTGCTCGTCCTCTCTTGCAAGGTGCCTGTGCTCAGACTTCACCACGGCTTCCCTGGGTGCTTTGTCTTATCCTATAGTAAGAGATGCTCTTACTCCTCCAGACTGTGTTTCTATTTTACTGGGGTTTTTCCACCGTTTTATTGTCTCGTTACTTTTAAGTTTTACCTGAGTTGTCTAAGGCCCCACTACCCTGACTGCACCTGTCACTTCTGTTAACTACACTCAAGTTTTTGGTTGTGCATGTAAGTCCTCATAGATATTTGGGTCTATTTCTACGCAAGCTCTTCTTCTCCTAGCCAGCTCTCTGCCTCGGTGGCAGTGTCACTCGGTGGTGTTCTCGGAGTCACGGCTCCCGTCGTCGGTCCCATTTCTCCACTAAAACATCTGATGTGACCTGGGCTCTGGAGCCATGACCAGGCAACCTCTGGGCCAGCTACTATTCTTGTGTTCTTGTGTCTTCATTTATGAGGAGGAGGAACATGAAATCACTAAACTTCAAAAGCTGTTAAATGAATTCAATGAAATTTTATTTAGAAAACGACTTCGTAAGTGTATGACAAGTTTATTTAGTCATAAACCTGAATTCATAGCAGCACACTGGGAACTTCCATTGTCTGACGAGCTAGCGACAGTAGAGCTGACCACGGCGGCCTGTGCTGTGTCCGCGCCCTCTCGTTCGCACGCGCTGTTGCTGCTCTGACTCCTGGGTGGAAGAGCCGGGCACTGACTGCCCGTGCCGTGGGCATCACGTCAAGCACCACCCGTCCTGGGGAGCTCGAAACGCCGGGCATGTGTGTGTCATCTGTATCTGGGACTAGAAAATGAGACTAGGCACTCCGGGTTGAGATCACCCTTAACTTCGCCGGTACCTCAGCTTTCACCTCTTCCAGTACTCTCCTGCCTCCCCCTTGGGCCGCCACTCCGCCCAGCTTTAGCACATCACTTCCCCAACGCTGCCCACCTGGCACACCACCCAGCTTGCCACCCGACTGAACCTGTCATGTGTGTCACAGCACGTTCTACCGTGGGCTGCACCACAGCCTGGACAACACTTTCATTAGAAGGAAAAGCACCTCGAGCAAGCATGATCATGAAGTAGAGAGGATACATAGTTTTCTTCTCCGTGAACAGCTGAGGGGCCAGGCCCCCACTGTGGCCTCTCTCCATGAATCACCGTAAGATCCCAACCAGGAGAATGGCTCCCTCGTTTGCCAATTATTTAAGTAGGTGACAAAATAGTGTAAGTAACCTTTGTTTGACCCAAGGGCTCAGAATCTGGTGCTTTCTAGATCTCTACCCTGGCCCACAAATCCCTCTCCCCATGTCTGCCAGTCTAAACAGCCTCCTCGCCAGGAAAGGAGCCCCACCAGGGCTCAGGCTCAGCCTCAGCCCCACTCACCCCACTCTCAGAGCCCCCAACCTTAGGCTGGCTGTGCTTTCCATTCAAAATGGCACACACAGCAGCCACATCTGGCAGGCCCTCCCAGCTCCAACATCAACCTACGGCCTGCTTCTGGCTTCCGGCTTCCGAGCCGCCCCCCCTCGCACGCAGCCTCCGTCTCCCCACAGTCCACCCCCACGACCCCACTTTGCTCAAAGGTCACAGAGAAATCCACGCAGCCCAACCGGGACCCCTCATCAGCTCCAGAGAAAGGGGTCTGGCCCAGAAGGAGGACATTTGGGGAACTGGAAGGGGCCCCGGGAAGGACAGCCTGGGACCGTCTAGCCCTTAGGACTATTTTATTTCAATGACACGCTAAAGCCAAGGACGACCTTGACCCTACAGAAATACCGACTGGATTGCCTGAGACTCAAGCTGCCACAGCAGCCAGGTTTGGAGGAAGGAGGCTGGGCCCCATGAGAAAGGGGTGAGGCGGGAGCAAAGTCAGGAAGGGGCTTGAGACAAACGTGAGACAGGAGAAGGGCCCAGGGAACACTTCTGCCAGCAAAGACAAAGGCGCCTCGTTCTCCCAGTGAGGCTCAGAGGGCCCGGGCGGAAGTGACCCGACAGCCTACCTGGAGTCCCCGCCCCCTGCGTTTCAGCTGCTGTAAAACACTGGATGCATGTGATGTTCACAAATCTACTTGTGTGGTCACTTTTGCGGAGCTGAGGCCCTGCAGCCACCCCAGGGCGGCCTACTCACCCACAGAGCGGAACTTCTTGGCCCGCCTGTCGTACATGCAGACGGCGCTCGAGGGCCCGCACTGGGGCACATCCACCTTTCCGCAGACGCTGATTTTGTAAAGCATGTTGTTTTTGGTATCAACAGCTTCCCAAGTGTAACTGGAAAGGAAGAAAAACAATTTGTCATTGTCATCAATCTGCCAATAATTAAACTTCTCTCTCATTTCACATTCAAGCCACGTTTGCTTAAGATTACCACCACCTAGAAGGCACCCTTCACTAGCCAAAAACGCTAGAGCCAAACTATGTTACGCTGAATAAAAGCCAGGGCGGAAACCACCAAATACCACCTCGCTCCTCGCTCTGCGTCAATCCGCACGGGAGCCGCCTGTCTCCAAAACCACCCGAGTACTCAAAATTAGGGCTAAGCCTATCAGCTCAGCTAAGTAAGAGCTGTGTTCCGCGACTGCAACATTTGATGCCACGTAAGAAAGTGACCTTCCTAATCACACTGAGCAGCCAAAGGATTGTCTTTCACTTGTTTGACTTAAAACTATTTATGGCCCGAGAGGTGATTCTCCCTGAGAAGGCCTCTCCAGCACGGCCAGGTCAAACTAAGCCCACAGAAACAAGTTTGTGACGCTTGACAATCTCCATCAACCTAGACTGGATCCCCTTGTGGCTGGTCCCCCGCACCAGGCATTTTGCAGGCAAAGTAGTCAAACCTCTGGCAAGGCAGATACTGAGTCATTACCAACAAACAATCAGAATAATGAGGGCAAAATGATGGTTTGTCAGCTCTATCAAAACAATGATTTTCAATTTTCTATTCTTCCCAGGAAGAGTGTTCTATCCATTTTATAAAGTGGGGGTCATTTCCTCAAGGACAGAGCAGGAAGTAAAGAAAGTGGCTAGAAAGTTCCTTGCAAAATGCAAAGATCCAGTCTTAATTCAATTGTGTCGCTGAAAGGAAGGAAGAGAAATTAAATCAGAAATACTCAGGCTGGCCGTCCCAGCAGTATGGAGCCAGAGCTCAGTCCTGAGACCACCCACAAGCATCGGAGATCATCTCCAGCAGAGGCAGGCCCCTCCCCAGCTCCCCGTCTCCCAAGCCCCCTCTCTCCCTTCCTCTCCAGCTCCCCATCCTCCCACGTGGTTGGCCCCAGGGCAGCAGACTCCCCAGTGAGCTGCCTCCCTGCCTGCAAGCAGGCTCCCGGCCCAGCTGCCCCATCCGGCCATACAGAACCCCCAACGGGGGCTGCAGGCAGCAGCCAAGCTTCCCCCGGCACTCAGGTCTGGGGACTGAGGTCCCCACTTGAAGCACTGGCTGAACGCACAGAGAAATGAGCAGGCGGAGGCAGAAAGCTCCCCAGAAGTTCCAACACCGTCTGAACTTCAGAAAAACCTGAAAAACTGGCTGGTGCGCTCCTGAGGACCTGGGGCGATGCCAGGCAGGAAGCAGTTACCTCAGGACTCTGCTTCTTCCTCGGCAAGCTCACAGAGTGACCAGCTGGGCAACAGACCCAAGAAAGTAACCCAAGCACCACCAGAGCCCAGAACGTTACGGGAAAGGTCTGTTTCCAGTTCCCTCCACCAGCCTTTCCTTCATTTGCTTCACAAATATTCAAGTACTTTCTTAAGTGAGGGCTGGGAGGAAAACAGTCAAGAACAGAGCAACACAAAAAGGCCCTGCCCTCCCGGAGTGTACAGATGGGAGAAAATTAGCAGGTAAATAATACCAATAATCCCACCTAGTGACCGGAAATGACAGACCTAGGGGATAACTAAGATGGAGTCTGAATGACAAAGAGTGAACCCCCAGGGCAGGAGAGGAAGGGGGGCTCTGGCTGAGCAGTGGCCAGGGCCAGGGCGGGAAGGAATCTAGCACTTCCATGCAAAAGGGGTCTGAAGCATCCCAGGAGCAGAGAAGGGTGCGGGGGACGGCTAGGTTTTGGGGACGGCTGAGTGCCTGAACACGGGCCTCCCGGCCCTACAATGCAGTCACGAGTCTGTACTGGAAGCAGGAAACACCCCTGAAGACGATTTCCTTATGATCCTCGGCTGTTCTTTCCTTTCTTTCACTAGTCAACCCTGCTGCGAATGATGGCTAGTTACAGAAAACTGCTCATCGCTAGTGGGGGGCCATGGCAGTTTCTCTAGGACCCCAGATGTCGTGTGTAAAAACTCGGCAGCTCCTGAGCTGCCGAGCGAGGTGAATAAGGGTATTTCAGGAAGAACCGACAGGTAAGAAACAACTCAGATGAAGTCCACACTGCACAAAAACTGCCAGGCTTTCCTAAAACATAAAGCCACGGCTGTTCTCGCAGGGCTGATCTTGAAATAAGAGAAATGTGAAGACTGTATGTTTGGGGGACAGAAGCAATGAGAAACAACAAAATGGGGAAAGCACTGAGTTTCTGAAAATCAGAATCCCTAGAAAGAGAAGTATCACTCCAAGAACATTTCTTTATTCGCTTTTCCCGGGTGCTTGTCTAGATTGACCAAGATGCGAAATGGGGAGGGAGGCGCTTCCTCGGAAATTAGGACCAACTTTTTTCACCAGGGCTGTTTAACCCCTCACCTCAGGGGCCCCCTCCTCCAGGCTGGGGCCAGCACTGCCTCGCACCAGCCCCCAGCTGGAGAGGCTGGGGGAGGAGTCGCCCTTCCCATCAGCAAGGCAGGAATGCTCAGCGTCTAGAAAGCCCAGGACCGGGCATCTGCCGCCCAGCAGCCCCGGAACCTTCCAGTTCCCAAGGACCTCAGCCTGCCCGGTGAACAAAGGGTTGTGCCGGGCGACCAGGACCACGGGGCTCAGGGCACCTCCCTGGGTTGAAATAATCCATCTGAAAACTCACGAGGTGTGTTCCGTAAGCCGCTGCGAGTCCTTGTATGTGGCCTGGTTAAGTCATCACCTAGAGGTGCACTCACAGAGTATTTTTTCAAGATAAGCCTGGAAATCACGCAAATATCTGACAGAGCTTTTGGAGAAAGGACGAGCTTGAATGACTCCTTCCCAGACTACAGGCCACAGCACCAGAACAGCCTCAGCCGAATCCCCCCTGACTCCAAGCTGGCGCTTGCGGGGCCCAGTTCACATTACGGCAGCAGAGACTGGCTGCAGGAGCCATAAAAGTATTATAAACGCAATAAAACTTAATTATATCTTTGAGGAATAATACATTTTTGTCCAAAACTTTGTCCATTAGAAAATCCCGTGCCACAGTGGACACGCACAGCCAGCGGCGTGACTCATTTAACAGCCAGGCGAGGCGGCGGTGGCCGAGGCCAGCGGAAGGAGGCTGGGTCCTGGGCGCACCATTTGCATTTACGCGGGACTTAGGGGAAACGGAGAGGGGGAAAAAATGAGGACCAACTTATGAGGGTAAAGAGAAATCTAAGCTGTAGTGAGATGCTAAGTTTCAGCAAGAAACAAGTCTCTGGAAGAAAACGTCAGCAGGCTGCGTGGAAGCGTCCACCTCTCGCACACACGCAATGTCCGCACAGAGGAATACTGTAAAAACATCCCCTACAGCAGGACACACAGGAAAGCTCCAGCATCATTTTCTTGAAATGGTTCACACTCCCCTCAGGTCTCCATGGTCACTGGCGCGGGTTCCCCCCACCGACCTGGGGCAGAGGGACACAGGGCTGTGAGGGGGCACAGACACATCACCCAGAAGCCCTGTCCCCCGGGCCAAATTCAGCTCAAATCCTCAACAGCTGAGGAGACTCCTTCTCCTGGCTTTTTAGCAAGGGCATGCCAGTCCGTGCCTCATTTCCCAGAGTGTAAAATGTAATTAGCAAATGTCCTCCTCCCACTTGCAAAAACCCCAAATTCATCTAAAAGCAACCTGAGAGCTCTGGACAAACGTGCAGGCCTGCGGGGCTGGACCTGACCCCTGCCTCAGCATCATCTCCAGAGGTACATCATCCAGGCTTCTGGGGTATCTGGTATCCCCAACTCTGCTGTGTTCTGGACAGTAGCACCCTCCCTTCCAGAACAAGGCCTGGCAGACACAGAGTCAATATTTACTGACGGGGCTGAGGAGGAAACAGCCAGTGGACACAGCAGGCATCACGGCAAATGCTCTCCTGTCCAGTGAGCAAAGCCCAGGCATAACTCAACCCCAAGTCCCTCAGCTCTGCACCCTAATTTCCAGGCCCCACATCAGCGCAGGAAGTGATAAGGGCAAGACTGAGCCAGGCCCTCCGAGGCCCCAGGGCAGTGTCTCCGGGAAGGTAAACTGCCTGTGTATTTTCAGTTGTCCAAAGCTTAACGCTTCAGAAATAGTTTGACTAGAATGCTGACACCGGCAAACCAGCTCAAGCCCAGGGCTCTCTTGTGCTCAGAACACAGGCACAGGGCAGTGAGCTCCAGGGAGCCCGAAGACCTCCGGAAAAAGGCTGGGGAGCTGGCTGGGGCCCAGGCCACCCCGCGCCGTGCCGTCCACACAGCACGGCTTGTCCTGGCTGCGGCTGCTCCCAGGTGTGGACAGAGCGCCGCTCTTGTCCCCAGCGAGCTCCGCTTCCTTTCTGGACAGTGTGAACTGCCAAGCCCCAGAGGCCCGCCTTCTGCAGGCCCTCTTCCCTGACCCACCGGCTTCCACGCAACAGTCCCCTGCTCCCAAGCTGCCTGAGGACTGCGCGGTGGAGGGGCACACCCAGGCCCCGTGTCCTGTCCCCCAACTGGCCCCTCTCAAAGGGCTGCTGAGCTCAGCAGAAGTGCCCTTCGAAAGCCCCAACTCCGCCAGAGTGGCGGCCCCCGTGGGAGCACCCTGGGCGCCCGCAGGCCCCACAGGAGGGGGCGGGCAGGAGCCGCACACAGGCGGGGCTCTGGGGCCTCTGGCTTCGCAGTGAATTCCTCGGCGGCAACGCGCCCCGGACAGCAGTGATTAATGACCCCGGGCGAGCACACAGGCGGGGGCCCTCTGCAGCCCAGAGCGCGGGCGGCTCTGCTCGGCGCCGTGCTGCCACGCTGAACGCCTGCAGGACGCCTGTGCGGGGCACAGAGGCTCCATTTTAACCTCGTTTGGCGTCAATGTCCTAATACCCCAAAAGGTGCTGGCAGACCACCAGAGAGGGATGCCGCGGTCGGCGGACAGGAGGGCGCTGCTCCCAGCGCTCTGCCCTGCGAGGGCACGTGCACCGCCCACCTCCCG